TCATGATCATCCCGTCTATCCCACTTCTGGATATTAACGGTAAGGTCATGATCATCCCGTCTATCCCACTTCTGGATATTAACGGTAAGATCATGATCATTCCGTCTATCCCACTTCTGGATATTAACGGTAAGGTCATGATCATCCCGTCTATCCCACTTCTGGATATTAACGATAAGATCATGATCATAACGCGTACGTCTATCCAACTTCTGGATATAAATGGGAAATTTGGATTGTTTAAGGCCGTTAACTTACCACTGCCGATAAAAGATAAACACTAGCATTGAATGTTGATTTTTTTTCTTATACTCGAGAACGATGAAGTGTGTCAGTGTTCGCAACAACATGTTGATTTTTGTCGGATGAGCAATCCAGTCTATCCAACCAATCTAAGCCAACTGTGTATAATTGCATTCATGACTAAAGATGCCAATATAATTTCAACATTTCGCACAACCTTAGTGGAACCTTTTACTTCAGTACCTACCTCTCAATATCTCAACCAGGTTAGTGGGTCGTGACTACTAATGTACCGACCAGGGTATGTGGGTCGTTACTACTAATGTACCGACAAGGGTATGTGGGTCGTGACCAGTAATGTACCGACCAGGGTATGTGGGTCGTTACTACTAATGTACCGACCAGGGTATGTGGGTCGTATCGAGTAAAACTATACAACCACCAACTGGAATTTTGAAACTAGGACAGACGAGTTCGGCAACTAATGGCAAGCTGAGTTTATTACCTTTCTATGAAAACAAGGGTGCATTTAAAACTATAGGGGATTGGGAAGACCTACTTAGAATAACTTATGCGTCTAAAATAAAATTGTGGGAGCCATTCCACGCCGCTTTACCAAATTTTACAAAACTCGAACTTCCACAAAAACTTAAAGCAATCAAACAAATTCCCATGTCTCAACTGATCAACGAATTACACACTCTCAGGGCTGTAGCTGGTGATACTAGCTTTCTTTAGGAGTAAGATAGGTATGGGGATAGTAGGAGTAGGGGTTCTATGCTTGCTGTATACATTTACAGGTGATATGGGTGGGTAAGGTTATGTAAGGATCGACTAGTCATTAGAGAGCGAAAAAGGTCAGGTAAGCCAATCACCGAACCTCGCCTCGAAATGGTGGCTGAGAACGGAAGGGACAACGATGACAGTCCACACTCAACAGCACCGATAGTTACCGAAGGATGCCGTCCTCAAGATATACCCCTGTGTACCAGGGAATCCCCTTCCAACTAATAATTCAAACAACGCCATGGGGAACACCCGGGAGTAATATTAACGAAAGTGTGAGACAGTGTCACAAAACACTTGAAGATGAGATTCCGTAACCCACTTATTTCTTTGTCAATTATGACTTCACTTCCATCTAGTTTTACGAACTTTGGTAAACCAAATTGCTACTTATTTATGTCCTAAGTGTAACACAATAATTTGTTTTTATAATGGTTTACATATATACGCCTAGCAGTGAGGTTCATTTTGCTTTAATATATAATTTATTGAAATATCAATTTGGGGGAAGTTTGTCCCATGATGGAAAATCCTACGTTGCTTGCTTTATGACGTCATAATAATGCTCATTCCAACGTGAGCCGGACTTACCCCAAATGGTCTGTCCGAACATGCCTAAAATTGGGGCACGTTAGGCCATGCTATCTCCTGACAGACAAAGTTAAATAATTCTTGTATTCGGACGCGTTTGCTCTGTTGTTATTATTTTATGAAGGGAATGGAATTTCTTTTTTTGTTATATGTCCACACCAGTTTCAACCAATGTCATGATATCCAGAACAACTTTGCTAAAGATGGGCCGAACTTGTCCCGGTCTCGACAACGGTCGACGTGTTTGAGTAATCGGGGAGCAATCATGACGTGACGTCAACTTTTAAAATATCACGGAAATTCCCGAAAGGACTCCGGTTGACGTTCTCCGCCTGACACAACTGGTAACCATAGATAAAAACAATGCTGTTCCTCCATCTGGTTAAACAGTTCTTTAAAATGTATATTGGACTGAATGAGACCACGATGGAATTATATAATCCTTGCTTTTTTTAAGGTAAATGTAAGGATTGAAATGCATTATTTATAGTGGTATAAAGCTACATTCAAACAAATCAATCCTTAAATAATTTACATTACAGATAATCGTCAACGTCCCTTAAAAAAGTTACATATATCATATCATCTCACATGCAGACCGAGTATATTAAAAAAAATAACACATGGTATTACCACGGACTTTGATCTAATCGAATTCCGTGGTAATGCGATAGGGAATCTAGAGTTGGGAAATTAGCCAAATGGCGCAGTGCAGAGGCAGAGACATATGAACATATACAAATATGTTTATACATGTATCTGTAAAATGCATACAGGCGAAAACTGTCTCTGCCATACATTGAACATTCTGTTATTTTGTATTGATTGTGAGATATAACGAAGTGACTATAACAGATAGAACCAGAAAGACATATGAAACGGACTATAACAGAGTGAGTTAAACTTCCAGTGCCCATTAAATTTGCAACGCCTGAGCGACCACCATATCGATCGACATAACAGCGTTTAATGAGTAAGTAACCTGCAGCTAAAAATAGCTTGAATGCTATCAATTATTTTTGCTGTCGTCTGCTACACGTTACTGGAGCGGCGTTACACTTGTCCGATTTTACCAATGCTATTACATTGTGTACATTTTGAGGCCTTGTCTGCCATTAAACCAGTGTGGAGTACATCACGATTGTGGACCGGCTCGTCTGATGACCTATTTAATACCCCCGACATCTTGTGTACAGTATTTTCGACCGGTTTCCACTGCGAGGACTGCATACGGGAACTCCGCCATTGTTGACATCGCTGTGGTTTAAGTGGGTTGAATTTTAATGGAAACTTAACCTCAGTTTTACAGGTAACGTCTGGGTTTTACTAGAATCAGTTTGTATGTATTATAAACAAGACATCGTGTGCATTGTTAGACAGGATGTGTATGTGTAGATGACCCAGGGCCGATGTATGTGTGGTGATAAGTAGGCGGTGGGGTGTTGGCGGAGATAATCAGCACACAGCTGGCTAGCGCTGCAGCGTGCTCACCACAGGGCATGCGTATATATATTTACGGATCGTTTAATTGTTTGGTTTTAATTGATTTCTCAGTTCTTTCATTGGTTTGGTTTTATCATGGATTAACATATACATATATGTATGTCTCATACGTTATGTAATGGAAGTTAATACAATAATTAAGTAGTATTTACAATAACCAACAGCTACACAGTTAACCCCCGTTGTATCAGGACAATGGGGGGTGTAGATGTCGATAGGAAGGGCCTAGGCGGCTGTACACGTCACACCCGGACACGGTTACTCCTGTGTAGAGCAATTAAATATTATCAGAGACGGCTCTTATATCATCAATGACAAAATTAACATTTTTTTTTATATTTGATTGTTCATAGTATTAGTTTAAACATAAATTATTGTACAAATATACAAACGGATTGGACAACAAGTTATTACAACTCAATAAAGTACTCTGCTCAATATGGGGGTGATGGAGGGGAGGGGGTGTTACATAGAAAAGAAAACGTGTAAATTGTTTAATCGATCCGCATTTGAATTAGTTATAAATTATACTAATTTCATGACGTGCATCCTAGTAAAAAATTGCAAAATGAACAGAATCAATGTATCAAAGAAATCAGGCAAAATAATGAAATGCAATTTCATAGACACATATAACAACTTACACATAAATAAAAATAGAAAAATAATTATAACTATCAAAACCTTTTGCTGGATTTGATGTAATGATGCACATGCCTAAAGATACTTATGTTGTTTTTTACCGAAAGTTGACTATTACCAAACAAAAGTAGTTCTAAATTAAATTCAACATGGAAGGCATTCACATTTTGGAGCAGGGTTTATCTTTCTTTGTTAAAAAGTATAAGTAATCACAAAAAAGTGAAAGGCATTTTCACAGGGATGGCCACAATAACAAACTGGACTATCAACCAGATTTACTCTATAAAGAGCATATTTAAGTGGACTACACTGATGTCTAAGTTTAGTGTGCAAAATGTTCAGTTTACGTTCACCGAAACCTAAGTAGATTGGTGGAGGAGATTGTACAGAAAATGTAACGGAGTCAATGATCGAACTGAAAGGTCCAATGAATTCCAACCGCGAAGAGTTGAAGGTATAAAAGATGAATTTGTTAGAGAAAGCCTGAAAGGACGAATTCTATAATCATTATTGTTTCTAAGGGTGTAACGGTTATTTTCTGCAACGGAAGATGGCAATAGAGAACTTAAATAGTCCGGAGTTAATTTGTTGTGCATTTTATACAAAAGTTGGAGCTTTCTGCGCTTTCTTCTATTCGAAAGAGTTTCTAGACCAGTTTCAAAAAGTAAGTCATATGAAGGAAGTCCAGTTACATGTATAATACGAGAAGCTTCTCTTTGGGCTTTCCCTAACATTCGTTCACAGTATTGCTGATACATCTCTTACGTTTAATAAACGGTTTATAGTATTTTGATAGAAAGCTAGTACAAGCGATATTATATAGGTTGGCTATTATACCAGACTATCAGTTTCTGTTAAGAATATTCCAGTTGCATTTTGCTCCGTTCTTTGGCATGTTTTAGACTCTGCGTTGCTTATCCATTGAATTAGTAAAGCAAAGACATGTATTCCTTATAAGTAATGCTTTTCTGACTGCACTTTGACATTAGTGTGATCAGGTGTAATCAGAATAACACGGCATGACATTCACATGTATTGATGACGTAATACACCTAAACACAGTTCGAGTACACATACAAACACACAGAAATGTAACAGGAAAATAGATTAAAACACCAGAATACAACAAAATGAGGTAGAACTCTCCATCCTCTTGTATAACTGCTGTGCAATGCATGTTTCATTATAACAACGTGTTTTAATTCATCCGACATAATTGATATATATATATATATATATAAAAATAATAAAAAAGGATCAACGACCGACTGAAAAAACAGCTGCCTTCACCCTTCACAAGGCTGTTCAGGTTTCTGAAATTTTAATCCTGAAGAGCCCTGTATATATTTATATATACATGTGGGGCAAGGAAGTAATTCCAACAGTGTATGTATATACATGTATATAGAAAGGAATAAGATTTAACGACCGACTAAAAAATATCATATTTAACCGACTAAATAAGATAAATGCAGTATGCCTGCCTGTATCTAACCTTTTTTTGTGTGTAATTGATTCAGTGACCGCTGATATATTAAGATGTCTGGTATAACTATTGCAGTATACATTTCTTACATGTTTATCTAACAATATCTAGTATTACCTGTGGAATAATCTTATATTGTAAAAATCTATAATATCATTAGTTCAAAACACGATTAACAATTTATTGTTTTCAATAGTTTCATTATTATTCCATCCTGTGCGTTGCAGACTTGACGTAAACGATGAACCTTGGGTGTGACCAGTTAGCGATTTTTCTGAGGAGCAAGGGGGTTTCACCGGAGGGTGTAGACAGTGTTCGAGGTGAGTATCACCGGAGGGTGTAGACAGTGTTCGAGGTGAGTATCACCGGAGGGTGTAGACTGTGTTCGAGGTGAGTATCACCGGAGGGTGTTGACAGTGTTGGAGGTGAGTATCACCGGAGGGTGTAGACAGTGTTGGAGGTGAGTATCACCGGAGGGTGTAGACAGTGTTCGAGGTGAGTATCACCGGAGGGTGTAGACAGTGTTCGAGGTGAGTATCACCGGAGGGTGTAGACAGTGTTCGAGGTGAGTATCACCGGAGGGTGTAGACAGTGTTCGAGGTGAGTATCACCGGAGGGTGTAGACAGTGTTCGAGGTGAGTATCACCGGAGGGTGTAGACAGTGTTCGAGGTGAGTATCACCGGAGGGTGTAGACAGTGTTCGAGGTGAGTATCACCGGAGGGTGTAGACAGTGTTCGAGGTGAGTATCACCGGAGGGTGTAGACAGTGTTCGAGGTGAGTATCACCGGAGGGTGTAGACAGTGTTCGAGGTGAGTATCACCGGAGGGTGTAGACAGTGTTCGAGGTGAGTATCACCGGAGGGTGTAGACAGTGTTCGAGGTGAGTATCACCGGAGGGTGTAGACAGTGTTCGAGGTGAGTATCACCGGAGGGTGTAGACAGTGTTCGAGGTGAGTATCACCGGAGGGTGTAGACAGTGTTCGAGGTGAGTATCACCGGAGGGTGTAGACAGTGTTCGAGGTGAGTATCACCGGAGGGTGTAGACAGTGTTCGAGGTGAGTATCACCGGAGGGTGTAGACAGTGTTCGAGGTGAGTATCACCGGAGGGTGTAGACAGTGTTCGAGGTGAGTATCACCGGAGGGTGTAGACAGTGTTCGAGGTGAGTATCACCGGAGGGTGTAGACAGTGTTCGAGGTGAGTATCACCGGAGGGTGTAGACAGTGTTCGAGGTGAGTATCACCGGAGGGTGTAGACAGTGTTCGAGGTGAGTATCACCGGAGGGTGTAGACAGTGTTCGAGGTGAGTATCACCGGAGGGTGTAGACAGTGTTCGAGGTGAGTATCACCGGAGGGTGTAGACTGTGTTCGAGGTGAGTATCACCGGAGGGTGTAGACTGTGTTCGAGGTGAGTATCACCGGAGGGTGTAGACTGTGTTCGAGGTGAGTATCACCGGAGGGTGTAGACTGTGTTCGAGGTGAGTATCACCGGAGGGTGTAGACTGTGTTCGAGGTGAGTATCACCGGAGGGTGTAGACTGTGTTCGAGGTGAGTATCACCGGAGGGTGTAGACTGTGTTCGAGGTGAGTATCACCGGAGGGTGTAGACTGTGTTCGAGGTGAGTATCACCGGAGGGTGTAGACTGTGTTCGAGGTGAGTATCACCGGAGGGTGTAGACTGTGTTCGAGGTGAGTATCACCGGAGGGTGTAGACTGTGTTCGAGGTGAGTATCACCGGAGGGTGTAGACTGTGTTCGAGGTGAGTATCACCGGAGGGTGTAGACTGTGTTCGAGGTGAGTATCACCGGAGGGTGTAGACTGTGTTCGAGGTGAGTATCACCGGAGGGTGTAGACTGTGTTCGAGGTGAGTATCACCGGAGGGTGTAGACTGTGTTCGAGGTGAGTATCACCGGAGGGTGTAGACTGTGTTCGAGGTGAGTATCACCGGAGGGTGTAGACTGTGTTCGAGGTGAGTATCACCGGAGGGTGTAGACTGTGTTCGAGGTGAGTATCACCGGAGGGTGTAGACTGTGTTCGAGGTGAGTATCACCGGAGGGTGTAGACTGTGTTCGAGGTGAGTATCACCGGAGGGTGTAGACAGTGTTCGAGGTGAGTATCACCGGAGGGTGTAGACAGTGTTCGAGGTGAGTATCACCGGAGGGTGTTGACAGTGTTCGAGGTGAGTATCACCGGAGGGTGTAGACAGTGTTCGAAATGTGTATCTATTGTCGGTGCTGGGGCTGTCCAATGATTATTGTGTAATCTTTAAATCTTTAAAGATTGCCGATTGTGGAAAAGGAGAGAAAATAGATATATTAAGTAGTTATAATTTACTACACAACAACATATTTAATCAAATAAAAAAGCTGAAATGTAGTCAATGCATTCTCTTTCAATGGCTCCGATGTTCATCAATGACGTCCTCGTGGCTATCTGTTTCATTTGTCCAATCCCTTTCACTCTCAATTCTCTCATTTCTATATCCTCGGTACATTTCTATCCGATCTATTTGAATTGTCAACGTAGGAATCGCCAGTCTCATCCTTTAAGTTTACGTTTGTTCAAACAAAACTTAATTAATTCAATATCAATAATTTAAGCTAAAATACGATTTTTTGGCGATTATCTACTGTCGCAAAATGCCTTGCCAGATACGTTACTAAACAAAACACCCATAAAAAAGCATATATTAACGGTGAATATTGACTAAAGGTATCTTATATAGCATATGATTCCATCAATCGTAACTCCGTAAGCATGTACCGAGTATATGGGAGGATGACCAGTGGCTGATAAGCCAATAGGGACATTTTTGGTCTGTATCCCATGAGTACAAGGGAATCCCGTCATGGATGCTGGACTCGAGGCTCTAAAAAGTTATTAGTTTGGAAAACATAGTGAATACACTATTTCATATATTATAACAACTTTTAAATGTTGTCCTTACTTCCAAACTCATATATCATATTTAAACATTTTATGTTTCATACTTAAAATAATCAACTTTGAAATTTTAAAATAACAACATACTATATTATATATATACATATATATATTTATACACCCATTGTTACCTTTAGGAGGGAACTAATATAGGCTATGCCTGTTATTCAATCCTTTTTCTAAATGAAATAAAATTTGTTGAAATGAAAGAAATATACCGAGAACATGTATCCTACATGAAACTCGGCATTCGTGGTTTGTCCGTTAACATATCAACAGATACGTGACCGGTAATTGTTTGATAACACTGTACTCATTGTCGTGGGAACTTTTTATAGCTTACACGATAACATTGTTGTATAATGTGTAAATTTAAAGCGAATACCGAGTGAATTTATTTTTGCTCACGTACATAGTTTTGTCGACCAGATACGTTATAAACAGATACGTTGTAAATGATTTTATAATCGTAGCTTCTAACAATGATACTTTAGATTTAGTTTTGTTTCGTGGGATTTTGATAGGAACACTGTGATTAGACCTTTTACAAACTGTACTTGCAGCATCTGGCTTGGAATATCTGCAAATCTTAGGAAATACAAAGACATGAATGCATATATAATACGGCCTATACATATATAATACGGCCTGTACATATATAATACGGCCTATACATATATAATACGGCCTGTACATATATAATACGGCCTATACATATATAATACGGCCTGTACATATATAATACGGCCTATACATATATAATACGGCCTGTACATATATAATACGGCCTATACATATATAATACGGCCTGTACATATATAATACGGCCTATACATATATAATACGGCCTGTACATATATAATACGGCCTATACATATATAATACGGCCTGTACATATATAATACGGCCTATACATATATAATACGGCCTGTACATATATAATACGGCCTATACATATATAATACGGCCTGTACATATATAATACGGCCTATACATATATAATACGGCCTATACATATATAATACGGCCTATACATATATAATAATGGTCAATTTGTGTACGTTATTGTATGTGTTCAAATAAATTAACTACTATAAATGGATTTTAAAGGATTAAATAGTGAAACGCTATGAAAGAAAAGGGTGGGATATGTAAGGATAAGGGATCACATCACTTGGAAAATATGTAAAAAAATATGTTCACTTTGGTCACGTTTCTGTTTCGGTGCATTATTTTCCCAGATAAAATCGACTTGGTTATGTGAACATTTGAGATAGGTGCATACAGCATGAGTGTAACACTTGACCAATCTAATGTGTGACGTATGATGATCTGTTGGAATGGTAACATATCTATTTAAGCTTTGAATGGGAGTAACGATTGAACAAAGTGACACGTACGCTAGCGTTCGCACTTTTTGCAGTTTAAGTTAAAGCCGCATTGATGTTTAATTACGTCTGGAGCTTTTGTGAAGTTGTTTTCAATATACAAGTTTGTTATAAAGTTACTTGTTCAAATTGTGTGAACAGATACGTTACAAGAACAAATTATGTCCTTGTTTCAATGCAACATACCATAATGATTTTTAGCTCACCTGGCCCGAAGGGCCAAGTGAGCTTATCCCATGGTGCAGCGTCCGTCGTCCGGCGTCCGTCAACTTTTTCCTTTAAAATGCTACTTGTCCTGAATGGCTCAGAGGATTTTGACCAAATTTGGTCAGGAGCATCATTGGCCAAAGGGTTCTCAGTTTTGTATAAACGGAGGGTATAACCTCCCCTGGGGGCAGAGGGGCGGGGCCAAATAGGGGGAAAATAGGTAAATCTTTAAAAATCTTCTTCTTCTCAACCAATAGAAGGATTTTGACCAAATTTGTCCTAGAGCATCTTTGGACAAAGGAGACTCAAGTTTGTATAAACGGAGGGTGTGGCCTCTTTGGGGGCAGAGGGGCGGGGCCAAATAGGGGAAGTAGAGGATTTTTTCTCTCCTACTATACAAGTGAAGGGATTTAAACCAAATGCAGTCTGAAGCTTGGTCAGGAGCATCATTGGCCAAAGGGTTCTCAGTTTTGTATAAACGGACGGTATAGCCCCCCCTCGGGGCAGAGGGGCGGGGCTAAATAAGGGGAAAAAAGGTAAATCTTTAAAAATGTTCTTCTTCTCAACCAATTGAAGGATTTTGACCAAATTTGTCCTAGAGCATCTTTGGACAAAGAAGACTCAAGTTTGTATAAACGGAGGGTGTGGCCCCTCTGGGGGCGGAGGGGCGGGGCCCAATAGGGGAAATAGAGGATTTTTTTTCTCCTGCTATACAAGTGAAGGGATTTTAACCAAATGCAGTCTGAAGCATGATTAGGGACAAAAGAATCAATTTTGTATAAACTG